GCGCGTGCGCGCGGCTCGCGCGCTCGTGCTCAGATGCAAGCTCCGGGCGCTCGCGCGGGTTTATGGCCATTCTCGCCGGGTTCGCCGTCAAGCCTGCCGCGGAGTTAGCGTGGGATACGAGGGGCGTCGCCCAGCCGTTGCCCGGTCGCGAGTGCCGGCTAGTTTTGTTTTTGTTAGTGTTTGAGTAGAGGGGGGGTCACCGTGTTAGGCCCACGGAGTGTCTCGGATCTCGCTGACGTGTCGGTGATCCGGCCGTCTCTGCGCTCCGCAAAGTGCCGCTGGGATCTACAGGCTTTGAGCCACCGCGCGCCCGAAGGGGCCGTTTTTTTGTTTGTTTGTTTTAATTAAATCTGGAAGGAACCTTTCTCTTTACTGCTTTAGAGCTAACTTATCCTCGCAGATCTGGTAAGCTTCCGGATCAAGGTATTGGAATTGCCCTCCTAAACCAGCCTGTAGCGTAGTAAGGTATTGTCTTCGCCATTATTCCCTGCATGGACGTTATTTTGTGTAATTTTGTGGTACTTGTCACAAACTTCTTCTTTCTTTTTTTTTCTTTTTGAGATGGAAGAAAAAACTAGCGGGCGCAGGTCGATTTTTTTGTTTTTTTGGTGTTAGCCAGCATGGTCTCGATCTCCTGACCTTGTGATCTGCCCGCCTCAGCCTCCCAAAGATTACAGGCGTGAGCCACTGCGCCCGGCCAGAAATTTTTTTTTCTTGTTCTGCCAATGAGATAGAAATCAAGATATGTTTATTATTTACTTATTTTTTTTGAGACAGAGTCTCACTGTCACCCAGGCTGGAGTGCAGTGGCGCATTATCAGCTCACTGTAACCTCTGCCTCCTGGGTTCAAGTGATTCTTGTGCCTCAGCCTCCCCAGTAGCTGGGATTACAGGTACACACCACCATGCCCAGCTAAATTTTTTGTATTTTTAGTAGAGATGGGGTTTCGCCATGTTGCCCAGGCTGGTCTCAATTCTTGAGCTCAGGAAATCCACTCACCTCAGCCTCCCAAAGTGCTAGGATTACAGGCGTGAGCCATGCACCCAGCATATGTTAAACTTCCTATGTTAAATTGGTTGAAACCTAGCACGGAGAACCATCAGAGATTTTGCCGAGGCCAGCAAAATCTGCAGATTTTTTTTCTTGGCTCTGCATAGTGCCTTGCAGATCACAAGAAAATCCCAGCATCTTTGCCTTATTTTCTCTATTGTAAAACAGAGTCTTGCTTCCCTGGGGAATACTGAAGCTAACATGAGCCTTATGTACTTCACCACTGGTTGGAATGTGTGCGTGGACAGGTTAACTTCTGTAGATTTGTCAGTCTGTTCCCCTAAGAAATGAGGGAAAATTTTTGCTTCACCTGTCAAGATTAAGTATAAAATATGTGAAGTAAATGCTATATTATTGTAGGTAAAATTTCACATGTAGTCAAAATTTACACATCAACATTTCCATATAAAGTACAATAAAGCTTAAGTAGGGTTGAGTCCATCATTAAATGTGTTCTATGGGGATCTAAACAAAGATAAATAAGATGTCCGTGATCTAGAAGACATACGTGACTGCAAAATGTCACTGCTAATCATTAATATGTGATTTGCTTTTCTGCTCGGATTTTATTTTAGCCAAAGCCTAATCCTAGCAGAATATTAGCACCTTGGGAAGAGAGACCTCTTTTAATAGCTCATAAGTGAATTTAATTATTTTTTAAAAATTAAAAAAGGAGAAACACTGGAGAGGGGTGATAACTAAGCAAATTTTTTTTTTTAATATGAGCCAGAAAAATATGAAGTGAAACTGAGTTAACATGATAGGTCCTTGGAGAGAATCTGCTCAGCCTTTTTCTGATGCAGGGCTTATTCCTAGCACTACTAATCTGGATCTGTTAGCCTTTAAACTGGTTTAAGAGCAGCTCTGGTTAGAGAAAAGTAGCTTCACCACCAGCTGTAGCAAATTTAGAAATGTCTCAAGAATCTGGCTAACTTCCCATCACCTATTACTGAAGCCACAGCACTCACCTCACTAAATCCTTTTTTTTGTCGTTTTGGAGACAGGGTCTCCCATTGCCCAGAATGGAGTGCAGTGGCACGATCACAGCTCACTGCAGCCTCAACCTCCTGGGCTCAAGAGAATCTCCCACCTCAGCCTCTTGAGTAGCTGCGATTACAGGCGTGCACCACCATGCCCAGCTAATTTTTTTTTTTTTTTTTTTTGAGATGGAGTATAGTGGTGCAATCTCGGCTTCCTGCGACCTCTGCCTCCTGGGTTCAAGCGATTCTCCTGCCTCAGCCTCCCAGGTAGCTGGGACTACAGGCACTTGCCACCATGCCTGCTTAATTTTTGTATTTTTAGTAGGAACAGGGTTTCGTCATGTTGGCCAGGCTGGTCTCAAACTCCTCAAGTGATCTGCCTGCCTCGGTCTCCCAAAATGCTGAGATTACAGGTGTGAGCCATTGCACCTGGCCAACTAATTTTGTTGTTTTTGTTTCTTTTGAGATGGAGTTTTGCTCTTGTTGCTCAGGCTGGAGTGCAATGGCGCAATCTTGGCTCACTGCAACCTCCGCCGCCTGGTTCAAGTGATTCTCCTGCCTCAGCCTCCTGAGTAGCTGGGATTACAGGCGCCTGCCACCATGCCCAACTAATTTTTGTATTTTAGTAGAGATGGGGTTTCACCATGTTGGTCTCCCTGACCTCAGGTGATCCACCCACCTCGGCCTCCCAAAGTGCTGGGATTACAGCGTGAGCCACCATGCCCAGCCGGCCAACTAATTTTTATTTTTGGTAGAGACAGGGTTTCGACATGTTGCTTAGGCTGGTCTCGAACTTCAGTGGGCTTAAGTGATCCGCCCACCTCAACCTCCCAAGTGCTAAGATTACAGGTGTGAGCCACCATGCCTGGGCTTAAATTCTTCCTTCTATATGTAAATTTCTGACATCTATTAGTTTGAACTTTGTAGCTTAAGAACTAGGAGAGAATAAAAAGACTGCGGTGGTAAATAACAATCACAAACATAAAAAGATATTTAAGTGTTAGAAACGTTTATTTGTCAAAAAATTTTAAAAAAAAAGGGAGGCGTGGAATAAAACAAGGGTAAATTTCAGCTAATGCTGTACCACGATCACAGGTCGGACATAAAAAAAAACAAAACAACAAAACCCCCAATGGTCCTAGCAATTTTAGAAGAGTAACTTCAATGTTAGAGTCCAGAGCTAACAGAAGAGTAAAAGGCTGCTTGCCACTACATGGTCACTTTAAAGGGAAAGGAGATGCTGCAGGTAGGCAGGGAGAAGGATTCAACTCCTAGGGAAAGCAAGATAAGAGGGGCTCCACTGCACAGGAAAAAGGGGATGCCAGCATAATCCTTACCTAGGGCTGCTCAGAGGCTGAGAATGTAAGGAACAGAGTGAAAGGCTACAGAGACTAGTTTCAGGAGGAAAGAAAAGTCAACTTAGAAGAATTAAATTAAGAAAGAAAACATAGTTGGTCACAAACTCCTTTTGTTTACTGAAACATGAAGCAATGGAAACATCCCGGCAAAGGGGACCGCGCGGAGCAAGTTCTCATATATGACCGCAGCCCGAGGGTTCAGTCCGCAATTATCCTACCTGAAAGAGAGCACAACACAAGAGGCTTACACAATGCCTGGAGAGCAGCCTGGCTCCGAGTACAAGCGCCCTGGGTCCCATCCTGTATTCCATGGGGGGGAAAAAAAGAACAAAACAAAACCAAGTCAGACTGGATCTAACTCATATCTTATGTAATTACCTAGGAGTCTATTAATAGCTATATATAGGAATCTACTTATGGCTATATAGGAAAAGATGCAATCTAGCTGAAGAATGTGTTGGTGATAAATACATCTTTCTTATCCATCTTTTAGGCAAGATAACCCCTGTGACAGAAGGCTACTGTTGCTGCAACAAAGGGCATACATACATTTTCAAGAACTGCAATTTAATTTTGGGGTCCAGGAAAAGCAGAAGATGCTGAGATGTCATATATGGCGAACTGCACTATTCTAAATGTGTTTTGTTTTAATCTTTCACAGTAAACAAGCTTTCAGAAATGGTCACAAGGGGTAGGATATCAAGGAGCAGCCAGTCATTCACCCAATTCCAACACACCTACATGTCACACTGTCACAGAGTTAGAGCCACAGTTCCAGTAGTTCCCCTAATTGACCAAATCTCCCTTGCCAAATCAAAAGAAGAAATCACTCCTAAAATTCTCTAATCCTTCTATTGATGATGGGAACTCCAGACACCAATGGCTGGGGGAAAAAAAAAGTTAACTCACACCAAGTTCCTCTACTTATTACAGACAAAGGGCCAAATCTTGGTCTTGATCTGTGCCAATCGACTTCAAAAGTTGTGACGTTCTTGGATCAGTTCTGCTAGGGTGAGACCCGAATTTGTATCCCCAACAGTTCTGGAGTATTTCATCCTGGCAGCCTCATTAACATCAGGCTCCTGGGACTGCAACCAACTCAGGGTTATTCAGTCCATTTGAGGTTCACACCTGGAAGGTAAGTTTCTTTAAAAGTCATCACTAAAAAGAGGTTAGTTGAACAACCACTGCTTGCAGTCAAAATTCATTTTAAAATGTCCTAGCAATACCTTTTGAAGACTACAATATATGAATTTAACATTTAACTTTGAAACATAAGAGAAACAGGTTATCTGATAGATTTATACCAGCTTACTTCAGAAGCATATCCCATCTCATGCTAGATCCAGCTGCATTAAAAGTAAAAATTAATGGCAAACTACAAATTTTAAGATCATTTGCTTCACACATAAACACAGACTGGGCTGCACGGTGGTCTCGAGATTTCAAGACTTGTTTACATGCATATAGGAATACAACTTGTTACAGGTTCGTAACATTTGCTTCTCAATTCACATAAAAAAGCAAATTCCTTTTTTAATTTTTTTTTTTTTTTTTTTTTTTAAGAGAGAGAGGAGCCACTCTGTTGTCCAGGCTGGAATGCAGTGGCTAACTGCAGTCCTTCACTCCTGGGCTCAAGGGATCCTCCAGCCTCAGCCTCCTGAATAGCTGGGACTACAGGTGCGAGCCACTGTACACAGCTGCTTTGTTATCTTCTACATAAATACCAAAGGGATAAGTTAGGAACACCAGAAACTCAGTAGTAACTCACTTTAACCTTGCTTCTGGGGCTCCAAATGATGCTCATTTTCAAGGTACAAGAAAAACCATGAGAATGTAAAGTTGTCATAATGCCATTTCCACTCAGATGAAAAGATTTATCTATCTTTAGATACTCAAAATTATTCCTGGCATTTTAGCACTTTTGGTGCACATTTCCTGATGTAGGAAATAGTAAAATTTCAGAGCCTATGGCATTGGCTTTCACCACCTATGCAATTTTCTACACATCTGAAAATTACCAGTTTATCTAACTTACCTAACTCCTGAAATGTTCCTCTCTTCAACAACAAAAAACACAAAACAAAAACTGCTGGAAGAAATGGGAAGCATCCAGCTCTAAATGACAGCATAACAGGCTATGGAGAAATAGGGCTTAAGTGCCCATATAGAACAAGATGCTAGTCTAGATTACTAATAAGGACTCCATGGGGCAGAAGATCAAAGACACTTCAAGTTGTTTTTTTTTTTTTTTTTTTTTAGACATGAGTTGCTGCTCTGGGTTGCCCGGCGGCTGGAGTGCGCGCAGTGCCGGATCTCAGCCACTTGCAGAGCTCGGCCCCCGGGTGTTATCGCATTCTCCTGCCTCAGCCTCCCGAGGTAGCGGGGATTGACAGGGGGCGCCTCGCCGTTGGCTAAATTTGTTTTTTTTGGTATTTTGTTAGGTAGAGACGGGTTTCACCGTGTTCGCCAGGATGGGGTCCTCGATCTCCTGACCTCGTGATCCGCCCGTCTCGGCCTCCCAAAGTGCTGGGATTACAGGCTTGAGCCACCGCGCCCGGCCAAACATTCAACTTTCAAGTAAATGTCTTAGAAGCGAACACTGGAAATTTATAGGACTTCCTCTGGCATGTAGGTATGATATTCGAAGAGTTTCCTTTGACAAAGGGTAATGACCCAAGAAGTAGTTTGTTTTTTTGCTTTTGTTTTTTTTAAAAAGGAGAGACAGGGTCTCACTCTGTTGTCCAGGCTGGAATACAGGGGTGTAATCATAGCTCACTGTGGCCTCTCTCAACTCCTGGGCTCAATTGATCCTTCCAACCTCAGCATTCTGAGTAGCTGGGATCACAGGTGCTCCCCATTACACCCTGCTAATTTAATTTTCTTTGTAGAGACAGGGTCTTGCTATGTTACCTAGGCTGGTCTTGAACTCCTGGGCTCAAGTGATCCTCCCGCCTCAGCCTCCCAGTGTTAGGAGTACAGGCGTGAGCCACTGCCTCTGCCCTCAAGTAGCAATTTTATTAGCAAACTGTAAGCCTAAAGTAATGGTTAAAATTCTCACTGTGATATTAATTACTAAGCCCTGAACCTGTGCCCTTCAGCTTTACCATGGCAGTACTTCTGTAGTAGAGCGAGCACGGGTTTTGGAATCAGGCCTGTGTGTGAATTCTGACTCTATCTTCCATTTACCAAATGACTTTGGGCAAAGTACTTAACCTCTCTGAGGTTCCCTTCTCTGTAAAAGAATAAAATATTTCAGTCTTATCGTATAGATGATATATAAGAGCACGTAACAAATGTTAGATCTCTCAAATGTTTTTCTGTAACCCAAATATACTTACAACTGATTAAAGAATGTTCTATCAAATTGAATTTGTTGTTCTCTCAGAAGGAACAAGTTGGTTGGAGTCATACACTAACGCCTTGACAGGGCAAATGGAACTTGTGGCCTAAGCTAGAGAAATACTGAAGACTAACATGTAATTTGTACCTTTTGGATACTGTCCAGAGAGCAAACAGGTGGCTCTAGCCTCCTTTATGAAGCATGGGTCTCTTTCAAGGGAACTAAATGGAATCTTTTAACCATTCCCACCCATCTCTCACCTCCAGTTTTTAAAAGGCTGAGTACCGGGCTCGGTCCACATACTGCTCCCGTTCATACCGGGCCATGTCATACAGAGAATTCCGTGTAGCTGCTGAAGCCTGAGATAACTCACTCTCTGGCCCATAACCGTAGCCCTCTCCAACCGTGGGGAGCATGGCTGCAGCACGACGCAGTGGGCTCCTGTCCCTTCCATAGTAGGAGGAAGTGGTGGCCGCAGCAGCAGCCATAGCAGCTGAAGTGGCAGCAGCGCCAGAGTTTGGCAACAGGTGTCTGTCGTAGGGATCAACAGAAGTAGAGTTGAGGTGGCTGGTCACAGTTGTGCTTTGGACTTGAGGCAGATGGGACATGGTCTGCTCTGCGTAGTTGTATGCAGAAGCCGCTGCCGCTGCTGCTACTGCCTCATAAGAGCGGACCCGGTATCGCTTATAGTAGTCGAGTGCTCCATATGCATCGTTGTAATACATGGATTCCCCATAGCCCATGGTGTAAGGTGTGCGAACTGCTCCGTATTGTTCATTATACTGCTCAGTAAAGTCTGCCACACGACCCGTACGATCTACTGGGCACTCTTTGGACCAGTGCCCTTCTTTCCCACACCGATAGCAGCCACTCTGGTCTCCCATCCCAGGGGCAGTCCGAAGCCGGCTTGTGGACAACTGCACATGCATTCTTTTGCCTTGAGGAAACAGATGTAAGATTTATTTTAACTCATTGACATTCTTTTTCCTCCCCTAAATGAAAGTAAATTAGTTGTCATAAGACACACACACACACACACACCTGTGACCCTATTTCAGCAACCTCCTTTAAAAAGTAGTTGAAATTTTTTCTTTTCTTTTTTTTAAGACGGAGTTTCGCTCTTGTTGTCCAGGCTGGAGTGCAATGGTGCAACCTCCACCTCCCAGATTCAAGCAATTCTTCTGCCTCAGCCTCCCGAGTAGCTGGGATTAGAGGCATGCACTGCCACCCCTGGCTAATTTTGTATTTTTGGTAGAGACAGGGTTTCTCCATGTTGTTCAGGCTGGTCTCAAACTCCCAACCTCAGGTGATCCGCCTGCCTCGGCCTCCCAAAGTGCTGGGATTACAGGCATGAGCCACCGTGCCTGGCCAGCAGTTGAAGTTTTAATACAGATGAGAGCTAAAAAATTTGATTTTTCAGAGACTAGTCAATACTTTCTACTTAGGCCAGGAGTAGACCAGACTCACTCCTGCTTCTGTCTCCACAACTTTCCTTTTTCCCCTTAAACACAACAATTGGAAAAGTTTCAACTTCTCACTGCTAAGACTGTTATTACTTGTAATGATTCAGATTCTACCAATACTTTCAAAATCAACCAACAAAACCTCAGTTAAGTCAGATTTGGAAGGCATCTTGCCCATCTCTCACTGACTGACTGAGGATCTCGTAAGGCCTGAGCATTTACTATTGCTTAAAAACCACATCAGTCATCTGTCCATCTTGTTTCCTCCAGCTATTTTTGCAGATGTCACCAGAAGGCTCCCAATCATGGGCACATGAACCATACCTGGCTTGTCATCTGCTTCATCTCTAGTATCTCTGGGAGTTATAAAACCTTCCAGATGTCAACTCAGCCCCACCCCCACAAGGCTACTGTGGAAAGCTACCTGACCAAGGTCTCTCAACAACAAGAATTAGATTTTAAAACAGTACTGGTTTCTTAGGGACAGTGTGTTGACATGTAATGAAATGACTGGCATTTCATCCTGCCATGTAACTTACAATTCTTTATAGGGATTAACTACTAGTTAGAAAAATGCAGCATTTGCCTAGAGACCTTAAGAACACATACAAATGGGCCACATCCATTTCGGCTTCCAGGAAATGACCAGCAGTGAGGAACAGCTAAGAGAAGAAACAATCTTTGCTCAGGGATTGTGAACCACCAAACCCAGGGACCCTTACTGATGAAAGCATCTGAAGTCTTTAAAAGCAGTTAAAGAAAAAGAGTAGTCCCAGGTTGCACAAGACTCTCCTGGAGATCAAGTCAGTGCTTTCCAAATTGTAGCCAAAAGAAAATGCAAGGGAGGCTGAGGCAGGAGAATCGCTTGAACCCGGGAGGTGGAAGTTGCAGTGAGTGGAGATCGTGCCACTGCACTCCAGCCTGGGCAGCAGTGTGAGACTCCATCTCAAAAAAAAAAAGAAGAAAGAAAACGCAGTCAGCACAGATACAGAGAACAGGGGCTTCTCATTACTCTTAAGGACTGCTCAGAACAAATCCCGCCCCCTACAATCAGCAAGTTGCTCTCTCTTTAACAGACCTTGTTCTGGATGCAGCTATGTGAGAGGAAGCCTTGTGCTCCACCATCCTGTTGGAAATAGCCCGATTCAGGACGGCAGCAGAACAGTGCCATGCACTGACCCTGAGAGGGGAGTGGGTTAGTGCAGTAATATAACTTTAGTCAAATTCATTTTGCCCAATGTCAAAGAGTCCTATCACTCTAGTTTCTAGCAGAAACAAAAGTGCTCAGGCTTTATACCTCCAACTGCTAGCAGACAGGCAGCATCCACTATCACCGATAGCAGACACCCAAAAAGGCACTAAATATCTAAAAGCATTTTGCCATCCCATTGTTTTCAGAGATTTAAATACTTCTAATTGTTCAAAGTTAGGGGCCACAATGCTACGATTTGAACAGAAACACAGATTTCTGCCACCATTTATATCTCAAATGCAGAGTTCCCTATAATTTAGACTAAAAGATTATAAATGACTTGGCTTTCAAATACACGATGACATTAAGCTATGTGACAGACACAAACTATGCTCCAATTGCGAAGTCAGAGTGATCATGACAGTCTAAAAAAGAGCCAATCCAGAGACCTAAAAGTAACATTTTTAACAAAAAAATTCAATTAAATTTGCACTTTACTTTTATAGATTCTGGGTCCATTTTTTGGAGAAACAAAATCCAGCAACTTTACCTTGATGTTTTTTAACTAAATCCAATCTTCATTCCTGCATTTATTTAGAGGGTGGGAACTCAAGTTTCTATCTGTGGCAAAATCTACCTCTGTGTAGTTGTGAAAAGGATGCAGGTATCAATTTTTTGTTTGTTTTTTGAGACATAGTCTTGCTCTGTCACCCAGGCTGGAGTGCAGTGGCGCAATCTCGGCTCACTGCAACCTCCACCTCCCGGGTTCAAGCAATTCTGCCTCAGCCTCCTGAGTAGCTGGGATCACAGGCACCCATCACCACTGGTGTGATTCTTAAGCAATTTTTGTATTTTTAGCAGCGATGGGGTTTCACCATGCTGGCCAGGCTGGTCTTGAACTCGACTTCGTGATCCACTCGCCTCAGCCTCCCAAAGTGCTGGGATTACAGGCATGAGCCACTGCGCCCGGCCCAATTTTTCAACCTAGAACTAAAAAAATCTGTAATAGAGGTGACAGGTTTAAAAAAAATTTTTCAAACAGTTTCTCCAAGCTGGGTGCGGTAGCTCATACGTGTAATCCCAGCACTTTGGGAGGCCGAGGTGGGCCAATCACCTGAGGCCAGAAGTTTGAGACCAGCCTGGCCAACATGGTGAAATCCTATCTCTACTAAAAAAATATAAAACATTAGCTGGGCTTGGTGGCACATGCCTGCAGTCCCAGCTACTTAGGAGGCTGAGGCACAAGAATCACTTGAACCTGGGAGGCGGAGGCTGCAGTGAGCTGAGATTGTGCCACTGCACTCCAGCCTAAGCAACAGAGCAAGACTGTCTCAAAAAAAAAAAACAAAACAAAACACAAAAAAACCCAAAACAACCACAGTCTTTCCAATGGTTATAATTTGTTTTTATTAATTATTATTATTATTATTACTTTTTGAGACAAGTATCTTGCTCTGTTGCCCAGACTGGAGTGCAGTGGCACAATCTCGGCTCACTGCAACTTCTGCCTTCTGGGCTCAAGCAATTCTCCTGCGTCAGTCTCCTAAGTAGCTGGGACTGCAGGTGCACGCTACCACAGCTGGCTAGTTTTTTCTATTTTTAGTGGAGACAAGGTTTCACCATGTTGGCCAGGCTGGTCTCAAACTCCTGAGCTCAGGTGATCCGCCTGCCTTGGCCTCCCAAAGGGCTGGGATTACAGGTATAAGCCACTGCATCCAGCCTAGCCTTTTAATTTAAATACCCTAAAGTTTTAAAAATAATTGAAAAAGACTATGCTTCTCTATTATTATACCTTAAGGAACCAGGGCAAAGAAAAATGAAAGATTAATTCTTCTACTCTACTACACTTGGACAGGCCAAAAGCTTAAAGATTTCCTGAGACTTCCAAAAGTTACTGAAGTTTGTTGCCAACATGTTCCAGAAAACCAGCCCAATAATAGTGTTTTATTTTGAAAGCTGTAACAGAAAAGAGCATTAAAATGCTGAGAAGTGGGAAACCTGGGGTCTTAATTTCTAAGCGCCTATCAAGTGCCATGATCCAGAAAATATTGGGGATGTAGCTAATACAGAGTAGCATTCTGACTTAATGCTTGTTTACATATAGGGGAAAAAAAACAAGACACCTGAACTCTCACATATTCTTCCCAATTAAGCTGCCTGATTGTTATTTGGGAATAGCTTCTTTAGGTCTTCCAATACCAACCGTGTGTGCTAAGGAAGTAAGTTGAGTTCACTGCTGGCTGTAGAAAGGAAACAGATCCTGAAAGAGTAAGGTAAACTCAGATTCTGCTACTTCCTTTTAGAAGTCATACAATGCAAAAAGCCTCAATGGCAGCCATTAACATATAGAAATAAAGGTTCAAAAGAACTTTTTTGTTGGTTCGTTTGAGACTGAGTCTTGCTCTGCTGCCCAGGCTAGAGTGCGGTGGCGCGGTCTTGGCTCACTGCAACGTCCGCCTCTAGGTTCAAGTGAGTCTCCTGCCTCAGCCTCCTGAGTAGCTGGGATTACAGGCGTGTTTGTATTTTTAGTAGAGACAGGGTTTCACCATGTTGACCATGCTAGTCTCCAACTCCTGACCTCAGGTGACCCCCGCCTCGGCCTCCCAGAGTGCTGCGATTACAGGTGTGAGCCACTTAAATGGCTCAAATGGCCCTTTAAGAGGCCATGTTCATTGGTAGACAACTGAAAAGAACTTAAATTGAAACGTGTCAAACTGGTATCCAGATTGCATTTTCTGTAAAACTACAACTTACTATCCAATGCTAAGCTTGCTCTTGTCATCTGGGAGAAAAAAACCAGAGCTGGTTATAAAAATGTCTCTATCTATAACTAGGAGGAGAGTGCTCTCTCCAGAGGAGCCAAGTTAAGAACATGAAAACCAAATACAGGATTTTTCTTTTCCTATTCATTTTAGTGTCTGCACTTTCTAAGGAAGTGATGTTTTAAAAAATCTTATAGATCCATTGTATTATTCAGATACTCACTTCCTAATTATACCTGCCTTATTAAAATACATATTTCATCGCAAGCCACTTTCCCAGTTTAAGCTGAATTTTTTTTTTCTTTTTTCCTGTTTTTTTTTTTTAATTAACTTCCAAAGGTAGCTTTTCTTTTTTTTTTTTTTTTTTTTGAGCCGTCTGCTTTTGTCGGGCCGAGGGCGCGGAAGTGGCAGTGGCGCGGTCGATTCTCAGGCTTCACGCAAGCTCCGCCTCCCGGTTTCACGCCATTTCTCCTGCCTCCAGCCCCCCCATTGTACTGGGACGAACAGCACCCGCCAGCCAATAATGCCGACAGCAATTTTTTTTTTTTTGTATTTTTTTTTATAGGAGACCGGGAGTTTGCACCCGTGTAGCTCAGGAATGGTTCTCGATCTTCCCTGACCTCGTGATCGCGCGAGCCACCTGCCAGCCTTCCATCCAAACTGGCTTGGATTACAGGCGGAAGTACTCATCCGGGCCTAACTTGCAAGGTAAAGGCTTTTTTTTTTTTCATTAAAGATCAGTTTGGCCTGTAATCTTTGCACTTGGGGAGGCCAAGTAACGATTTTTTCCTTAGGGGCACATAATTTTGTTCCTTCTCCTTTTTTTTTTTTGTTTTTTTGTTTTTTTTGGTTTTTGTTTTTGGAAGAATGGAGTGTCTTGCCTGGCGCGCCATGGCCTTGGAGTGGGAGTGCGCACAATCCTCAGCTCCCGCAACGCTCTGCCATCCCACAGGTTTCCAAAGCGATTGCTGCCCCTGCTGGTGCTCAGCCCCTCCCAGTTAGCTGGAACTTACAAGGCATGCACC